AAGTGACAGGAAAAAAAAAGACGAAGAATTCAATGTCGTTAGTACAAGGTGGGCTGGGCAAAGCAGATTTTCCCTTGAGTCTGTGTGATGTGGTGAGCAGACGTATGGTTCCAGGAGAGAGAGCTCTCAGTTAACATCCATGAGACCATACCTAGAAAGGAATCTCCCAGATGGTCCTGTGTAATGTGCCACAGGGCCCCAAGAGGAGAATCTACAGCCAAAGCTACAGGACTCCTGGGATACCCTAAGGGCCCATGTGCCCAGTACAGACAGATAAGACAGCCAAGGCTCCTCATCAAATCCAGAGAACCCCACAGCCTTTCTCAGAACAGAAATATCTGTCTAAGTCAAAAAGGAACTAGTTGGCCTCTTGACAATGAAAGGTAGATGCAGTGACCCTTAAAGTCTGTGTGTGTCATGAATTGTCAGAGAAACCTAGCTGACACTACTTGTTGTGTCCATTCTCTGATGGTGAATAGGTTGGTATATAGTCACGCACACGCGCACACGCACATACACACGCTGTTTTTAATCACTTGGTACAGTCATTCCTTCACATTGTAAATCCTTAACTGCTCTCTCTCCAGATACAGTAAATGTAACCCTCTGACTTTGAATTCACAAAGGCCAGATTCGACATTCCTCTCTTTACACACGCTGTTTTTAATCACTTGGTACAGTCATTTCTTCACATTGTAAATCCTTAACTGCTATCTCCCCAGATACAGTAAATGTAACCCTCTGACTTCGATTCACAAAGGCCAGATTCGACATTCCTCCCTCTGCTCACACTTCTAATTCTAGAAGCAAAGAGCAAGCTGACCTGCTAAAACAAATTTCTTCAAGAAAGAGGGCTGCGACTAAAGAACATTCCTGATACCAACAACAGATGCTCTGGGAACTAATTCAGGCAGGAGTGTACACAGATACAGTAACTAAACTGCCTGTTAAACATGCTGTGAGAAAGTATGTTTATCTCTCTCCCAAGTTGGAATTTGGGGGATGGAACCTTAAAAACAACATGTCTTTATTTCAGCCTTTATTGTGCTCATTTCAATTTTTAAATGAAGTCTCCAGGTTGTAAAGAAACAAAATCTGAACCTCTCAGTAGCCTGAGCATGCCTACTCCCACCCCCTAATTCCCCATTTCCCATTTAACTGTGGCTTTTATAATAAACCTAAAAGTTATCCAGATAAAAATTTAGTTAGATAAAAGTTACTCATCATCACAGTTAACTCTGACAAAGTTTGTGAAGGGTTCAAACAGCTATCGAAATTAAATAGGTATAATTCTGGAAATTCAATAAAAAGCTGAGTGAATTCTTTATGGATAATAGGATCCATCTTTGGAAATTCACTATTCATTGCTAGTCAGATGTCCTGTTGAACCAAATATCAAAATACTGGTTTTAAATCTAGGTACAGCAGGTCCTCCAATAACATTATCATTTCTTTATAATGTTTATGAGTAGATTCTGTAGGAACGTTGTCTTGTTTATAGCAATTAGCCTATGGTAACACTGGTTTCATTATATGTCATTTCGCTGCAGTACTAAGAGCCTATCGATGACATTAAGAGAGAACTTACTGTACATGTTTATATCCTCATTCGCTGTAAATCACTACCAAAACCTCTAGTAACAAAATAAATCAACAAAACCAAATCTTTATCTAAGAACATGCCCACCAAATCCTATCTAATTCTCCAGAGACTAGTCAACAACAAATACAAAAGATCTCTGCTCTTTTTGGACCAGAATAGAGTGAAACTGTACATGGAAGATACCCGCTCCAGGCATTCCACGTGCCATCTTACACACGGCGAAAGCCCATCTCCTCTCCAATGGGGGATGGGTGAGCTGGGGAGTGGGGGGTGTCCCAGTGCTTTTCAGGTGTCCCAGCTGACTGAACTCTCTCTCCCTGTGTGCCCACCGCACCTCATACACATTCCCAGTACACTACTGTCATTTACTTCAGTCTTGACACAAGACAGCAAGGGCAGCCATTTAAAGTTAGGGACCCACAAACTTTTATACACTCACTTAAAAACTCCTGGCATAGTAAAGAACTGAGGCTCAAATACTTATTAAATTGTGTCTATTATTTGCCTTGATGTCCTAACTCAAACTTAGCTCTTTTATTAAAATATTTTTCAGTAAATCTAGGGCCTATCTCGATCACTCTACCACCCACTAAGCATTTCTGCATTACTTTAATAAGCTAATGTTTACAACACTTAGATATTAACTTATAGAACTCACTGTATCATTTCCTTTTATATTTTATGATCCTCGAGAGGAGTTCTGAGCTCCCCATAAAAACTGACACTATAGTTCATACAATGAGCATTTAATGATTATGAAAAAGCACCAACCTGTTTAACAATAAAGAATAGTATTCCTTCCTTAAAATTATGGAGAAGGTCAAGTAAGAAAAGAAGGAAGAAAACAGATTAATCATTGTGAATAATTAGTTACCTTTCTATATTTTTAAGCAAAGAACGTTGGGTCAAATGAACTTAGAATGATAACCTTATATAACATCGTACCTTACTAGTACCATGTAGTCAGGGACTGGACATTTTTTCTTTTTAATCTTCATTATGAGGCAGTAAGTACTCTGCACTCATGTTCTGTTTATCTCAAGTTGCTAACATAGTGTAGGGGAAGCGGTAAGTGATTAAAAGTGAAAAAAATGAAGAAAAAAACTCAGATGCTCTTCCTCATTTCATCTTTCTCAATACTGTTCTTAAAGTTATTATTTATCTTAAATCTCTTAAGAAGTATTTAAATCCAGGCTTTAAAGAATTTTTCAAAGTTAGTAATTTTCGTAATGGTAAATCTCTTCAATGAACCATATTAGGGCATTAAAGCAATTACTAAAACATTTACCTTTTCAAAATTAAATCCAAGTGTGGGCAAAACCAGTGGTGATATTTCATATGAATCTACTGAATTAGTCGAAAAGAATATAAAATCGGAAAAATCTATATACAGATGTTTAATTTTCTAAGAGAAGAAAAGAGAAGCTCTGATCTGATACTTGAAAATACATGAAAGAGGCAGTGAAGCCCAGTTTCCTGGAGACTGATCAAAAAGAACTGGGCCTGAATATTCAAACTCACACATACCTTCCTGAGAGTGTTCTCTGCAAGGAAGACATGCAGGGCTCAGTGCTGAGCTCTGAGAGAAATGTTAACAACAGCACTGCCTCGGGGGTTTGTCCTGGGACAGGTGCCATTTAATATTCTTATGGATCATTTGGGAGACGAAGGTGAGCTATAAGTAGAGAAGCTCCTGGTCAAAATTCACTAAAGATAATCGCTAAGAACGGAGGAGATCTAGAAGAAATTTTGGTTGGATTTAGGTATAAAAAGTAACCAACATCACAAAGGCAAAGGTCAAGTCAAAGTACAACTCCAAGGCCTTATGAAAGAGCCTGACTAATGCCATTTTTTCCTTTTAAGCTTGCAGTGACTAAGAATATATAGGTGCCTCTGGTTAATGAAAAAGGGAACTCAATAATGTCCTCATTTCTGGAAGTCCAATGTCAAGGCTGTAAGACATAAGATAGAGTAATAAAATACAAGATAATCTAAGCATTATAAAAGATTTAAGGAAGAAAAAAACAAGACTACGCTTTTTCTGAACTAAAATGTTTGTAACTAAAATGTCTGTACAATTCTGTGAGTCCTTTGAGAGCTATTCCTTTTCTCTCTACATAGAAATTATCTGCTTTCTTTAACTCTCATACTGCAACTTTTGGCCCATCTCTTAGGTATTTTTCACACTGTGATTTGCACTGTAAATAAAAGTATAAATTCCTTGAGAGCTAAGATCCTGACTTTGTACTCTGCACTTCTGCCAGAAGAATAGATTTCTAACAAATGGTTGCTAAAGGCAATATAATGCAGCAGTTAAGAATATGAGCTCTGCAGCCTCAGACTGTGCAAGTTTAAATCCTGGTTCTACTACTAACTTTAAAATCATAGGAAAGCTTCTAATCTTTGCGTCTCCATTTTCTCATCTGTAAAACTGGCACAGTAATAGTAAGTAGTAGGGTTACTGTGAGGACTAAACGATACATGTAACAGGCTTAGAATGGTACTTGGCACACAGTGTTTAATGAACGTTAGCTAGTCATCACTAGTTACAGAGTCATAGTAACAGTACATTAATGACTGGTGTACACAAAAAAGAACTATGATAAATATTACAGGAGTCCTCATGCTGGGTTTCCTTTGAGTCAATAACAGTATTCCTCCTAGATTTAAGTCTTTCACAATTAGATAAAATACAGGACCCCCAGTTAAATTAAATTTTAGATAAACAACAAGTACTTTTTTAGTATAATTATGTCCCAATTTCGTGGTAGGAGAAAACAGGTAGAAGCAGCATCCGAGAGAATAAAAGCATTGGTTTGCTGTTTTAAGAAAAAAGTCTGAAATGTTAAAAGTTACTCCTTCCTCTTTTAAAGAACTTCTTGAGCACAATGTACTCTATCCATCAGTTAGCTGACAGAACCCCACCTTACAGGAGCCCAGCTGGGTGCTGCCCAAGTTCTGATAAATCACACAATTTGCACTCCTTCAAAGTCTACATATAGGTCCTCTTTCCTCTCAACTTGAACTAATCAGAACAAACCATTAGAAAGTATTAGCCTTAACAAATCTGTTTTGAATACTGACAGTGGTTTCAAAAAGGCAGTGGCAAAATTCCCCATGTCAGCAGGGGTGTATTTGGATTAAATCAGTACTGGTGGTTTAAACTCACTAAAGGGTTTCTTCTACACAGGGGTGAGCTCTGCATGCCTGTAAACAGGCAGGTTTCTACCCCAACATATTAGGCATGAATTAGGTTGTGAGTATTTATGCTATCTCATAAAGTCACAGCATACTATGTGTTCATTATAAACAGGTCTTCTTTCACAAATAACAATCAGATGTATGCTTTCAACTCTCAGCAATGTAAGAACGGCAAGCTTGCAGGTCGCAGTCTTACCCCTCAGGACTGATTTGAGGTTGAGCTTGGCTTGCCGGTGCAGGTCCTCCACGCAAGGGGGTCTCGTGGAGGGAAGGAACACGTTCTCCTGCTGGTGCCATGGAGCAGTGTAGTGGACGGTCCACCGACTCTCCTCATCTAGGGTGGACACCGCTGTGGAAAGAGAGAAAGACAAAATCCAGGTGTCGAATTAAGCTTCTCTGGCTTCAAATGTATTGCATCAAGATGAGTTCTTGGTGCCTAACACTTCCACGGGTCAGGGCCAGCGAGGGGGAAATGGAGTAAATTCTTAGACTTCAGGGGTCCTTTCCAAAGTGTTTTATCTCTAAAGGGTCTAAAGGGACGGGTGAAACTGTCTATCATCACCCACAATGTTTTGGTAGAACTGTTTGCTCACTTAACTGCTTCCTAGATTTTTAGGCCCTCCCTCTACTCCAATGCTAGAAAATGACTGACGAAATTGATAGAGATTCCAATTCCTCCTTAAGCCCACCATGACAGACGTCTGTATTCAATTGTAAATTGCCGTTGCATATCAGTAAATGTTAGATTATCAAGATAGAAACTATTTTTTTTCCTGAGAGGTCAAGACCAAATCTTTCCTCTCTAAAACATTATTTTAAAATGTCACTGTTATAAACTCAATTTAAAAAAATTAAGCATAAACATTCAATGTAATATATTTAAATAGCATATCTAATAGGAGTAGAAATCAATTTGTGCTACAAAATTTTCCCTGTATTTCTTGCTTTCATGGAATATCTTTATATTAAAATGTCTTTTTAAACATTCCAATGTAATTGACTTTTCCCAACATAATCGATCCAACTAAATTTTCCCAGCACAAAAGAGATTGAAAACATTAGAGGAGGGAATGACAAGTAGTCACGAATGAACACTCAATCTGTATAATAATTTTCCTTTATTCCTCCCAGGGCTTGAGACCTCTTTGTCTATTTTGTTTTTCATGACAACACAAACTAAGTGGAGCCCAACATGAAACAACTTTTTAATGCTTTCTATATATCTGCCACTGTGAGCCAGGCATAGGGGAGACGAGAGAAGCATCAGAGAAAGACCCTCTGCTGAGTCATTTACAGGGAGTGATAAGTCTAATGCCTGTAAAATCAGCAGATACTAGAATTGTGAGTCAGGGGCAATTCTTCCCAAACTGTGACCTATACTATAGAGTGTACACTGGACATATCCATTTCTACAACATAACATGTCTCTGGTAACTAGACCACAAAATAGATCCTAAAAATAAAATGAACAGGCATGCATGAACTATTGAACCTTTCTAGCTGAACGTATTTAAAATTAATTCAATGTACCTCATAGCACAGCTACCAGAGTTATTATAAAGATCAAGTGAACTAATGTCTGTGAAGTCTTAGCTCATAACGTAACTTACGTAAAGCATGGTTGTGGCAGGAGCAGTGAAATTACTCTAAAGGAGCCTTTGACTTTAGAACCATCATTAAGGAGGAACCAGGCCTTTCTCAGCGCCCCTGGGAACCTGAGCCACAGGTTAGCCCTCAAACTATAAACCATCTTTTCTTCCGCTAATAAATTCTAAAAGTCTCGTGTCCAAATAATTCATTTCTTAAATGATCCTACATTCTCCATCAACTGAATAAAATTCTCCATCAAAGAATAAAATGGGAAAATAAACATTGAGAACTAGATCTCAAGGTAAAAACAGAAATGTCCTGTGTGCTTTCTGCGTTTAGTGTTTGACCAAAGCAGCATGTAAATTAGGCACCTGGTATTTCACAGAACCTCTTGTTGAACAAATGTTTTGCATGGTACATGTAACTATCAATCTTAATACATAAAATCCACAAAGACCTGACTTAGCGCTTATTTATATATCTGAGAATCTGTGCAGGGCAGAGCTTACCGTATGTCCCCCGAAGAGGAGCCCTAGTTAATGACAATGTTTTCTGCTGATGTCCATTTACTTGAAAGATTGAATTACCATACTTCAGGGTTGCAAAATATTGAAAATTGAAACTCTTTCTATGTGCCCATGACAAATCGAATCCAAGCAATGGTATTGGAGCCGGTGAATCACCCCAGTGGCCCCACTGTACAATTACCGACCGGCTCCTGCAGAAGAAGTTGTCTCT